AAATGTAACGTGAAAAGAACAGTCTTATGAAATTACCAAAACGTCTCTCAATAATTTATTCAATACTGGCTGAAGTGATCATGAAAATGTCTCAGTTATTTTTCACTGAGTCATTTTTATAGAATGTACCACATGGCCTACAAAATAATGGTATTACAGTAGTACAAACAAAATCAAAAGTCCAGTCAATTGCATCTGTAAGTCCTGGCCACCTTCCACAGAGATGTGCAGATGAATTTAACGTGGGGATGGTGGGAGGGGGGAAAGAAGCACCCTTACTAGCACCCTTATTAGCAGAGTCCCAGTTGAGTATAAGCATCTAGTAGTCACATACCTCTATCAACTCCTGAAGAGCCACTGTACCACCTCCAAGACTAAGGAGCCCAAACTCCCTCACTCCACAGCAACCACAAGAAATGCTAGGTGTCTTTCAGCTCCAGTGGCTCAAGAACAGACTGGATTGCTGCTAGTTTTCCGAAAGCTTTGGGGCAAACTAGGTGGAAGATCTTCATGTTGTGGTCTAGTTCCATCTATCATCTAGTTCCGTTCAGGTCTCAAAATGTGTAGTTGTATCCTTACAACAAACTATCATTATGTCAGAACATCAACAGCAGAGTAGTTTCATTACTGATTTGAATGTTATGCACTAACCTATTTTGGATTCAGATACATCCTTGACCTGAAGATGCAATAAATAAGGTGGCCTACTTCACCGCTTGTTGCAGCCTTTATGACAACGTAGCATGCAAACATTTCCTTTAATGTTAACAGCTCAGAACATTTCCAAAGTGATTTAATTCTTGATTTGGACATTAAAGTCTGTGGGAGATGTGCAGCAGAGAATCTGTGTGTCTTAGCTAAGCAGATTAGAATGTTTGCCTATTGCACCCAACTTTTCTTTCATCAAGTGTGATAGTTAAATCTGTAGTATAAGAGCCTCTTTGAGGACTGGACTAGTGCAAAAATTTTCTTTAGTTACCTTTAAACATTTCTTTCTAGATGAAGCGTGGCAAAATTAATACAAAGTGACAAAAAATATTACTGAAGCATTACTGGACTAGTGTAGCTGTGCGTAGGATAGTCGGACTGCGTGGTTGATTTCTCACATGGATAATCATTGGTAGGATTGGTCCTTTATTTAATACAGGCTCATTGAAACATACAGGACAAGCACAATCTTTTTAGATCAAGTCGATCTTCACCAGGCTATCTTGTAAACCATGCGGCAGCAGCTTGAGAGCTTGTACCATCTCAACTGATTTTTGATAACCGCTTCACTTACGTTGTTTGTTCTGTCTGTTTTTACGAGGCCTCTCTGTGGGTCCTTGTGCTTTGTTTGTAGGATTTTCAGGGATAGGATGGATTGTTGATGTTGATTTTTATTTTTTATTTTTTTTTTATTTCTGTACACAGCTGCAGCAGAGGACCCTGCTGCACACCAGAGGAGCTGATCTTGCTGCATGAACTCACGGCATGTAGCTCAGTGGACAACTTTGGCTCTTTAAGAGGGTGTTTTGCAAATTACTGTTGCATGACAGCACCCTGGTCTTGGAGTGGTGTTTAATAAAATAAGATCGAGAGCATGAATACTCAGTCTCATCACAGGCCAGTTTCAGAATGAGATATGTTGAATTATTAGCAACTACTTGGAAGACTGAAGTCAATCATTAAATGAGAGCAAATGTAAAACAACTCAATTTGATTTTCTTCATTTGGAGGGTTAAGTAGCCTACTGAAGGAAAATCCTAGCTATATCTCGATTTGACATGTCTTAAGTTCAGAGTGGTTTTGAGGCTGTTGTACAGGACCACGCTTTAACATGAGCTAAGGGAGCAGACTAGATGCAATCTCCACAAAGTGGGTGTACAACAGTTTGATAAACTTCTCTCAAAAATATGTTTCAGTAGTTTTCTGTCAGATTAAAAGGGCATCTCACATAGAATCTTACAGAGGGCTGTCCTTGAACCAGTTCTACTCAATTCTTTAGTTTTGGTTTGAATGTAAGAATACGAAGTACCCTTGTGTAATTTGCAAACATTAGCAAGCCAGAAAAGTTACTAGCATTTGAGAGGACAACACAGGGAGACAAAACAGTCTTCATATGCACAAACATACCCATCCTTTAGGCCAATTTTCATATAAAGCTGGGTAAAATTCCAACCTGCCTGAAAGGCTAATTGCTGTTAATAATTTGTGCCCAACACAATGGTTTTGCATGGGGAAAAAAAAAAAAAAAAAACCTTTGGAGGGATTCTGCAAATACCACATAGAATCATACCATTTCATGTTTTCATTACAACTGTGGGAGTTTAGAGTTCCCCAAATTCAAAACCTGTGGTCTGAGAGGGCAAGCAAGAGTAGAAAGTTTCGGAAGTTACAGCTGTGTATGATTGTGCCATATGCCCATGTCTCTAAACAGAAAGAAATTTAGAGGAAGGCAATTACTGGAAGCCAGTATGCCTGTGCCTGAAAAACAAAATGGGAAATTGGGAATAAAAGAGGAAACAACTTCTATTGTAATCCCATTTCCCACAGTGATTGCAGTGACAAAGGAAAAAGATATTAGAAGTGAAGTAATTGGCTATTTCAAATTCATTACATTTTAATAATTCAAGCATTATTAATAATGCAGATAAGAAAAAATATTTCAAATATTTTTTTCAGGATCTCTCTATACTATTCTGTTCTTCACCAAAGCAAAGCAGATAATACTTCTCTACCCTGCAGTGTAAAGAGAAGGGCAATGTAGCTCTAAAATACCTAACCACCCTTTGTAACAGCCTTAATGAGCTTTTCATATCCCCTTCAAGAGGGCAGCTTTCCCTTCATTTCTAAGTACACTCTCTGGGCAAACTCAAGCAGCATGTTCCTGATGAAATTTTGTTATTTTTAGAAATAAATGAAGCAGGATACATTGTTTTCCATCCTACACCTTTGTTGCTGCCTTAATATGAAGACTTGTGCAGTAGTTAATTACAGCATCCCAGATTGCACACCAAATAGGCATTGCAATGAAAGTGGGTGCTATTGTAAAGGGAAAATAGAGGGAACAATGCCATACAAATGTCACTTTAGAGTTCTTTTTAGGTCTGATTACCACCCCAGGAAAACAGCGCTGACTTGTTTGCAACAAAAGGAATTAAACTGTCTTGCATGACACCCTGAGATTGGATGCTCAGGTGGAAGGCATATTACAGTAAACAGGGCATTTTGGGTAATAGCTAACTAAGGAAGGAAAGACATATCACAAACTGACCTGTAATATGTATTCAGTCCCTTTTTGAGTGCTTCTGCAATCTCACACACTGTTTCTGTTTGGAGGAGGAATTGTTAATAAGAAGCACTTTGATTCCTTCATCTGTTTGTATACCAGCTCCTGTTTCCCTGAAGACAGCAGGAGTCAAACAAAAGGGCATAGGTTGATTACTTGCAGCTCAGCCCTTTTCAGCTGGCATTTGGTGTAGAAGGTCTCCCTAGATTTTCCTTGAGATGTTTTTCAAGAATTCTGGCTTCACTTTGGGATCCTTGGTCAAATTTCTGATCTTTCTGCTCTTCTTAACTGGACACGCTTTTTTTTTTTTTTTTTTTTTGAGAAAAGTAGCATTAGCTTCCAAGGTTTTTAATTGGTTTTATAGCATCACTGAATCTATTATGGTATACCTCTGAGCAGTTCAAGTTCTCAGCTTGCATCAACAGCAGTTTACCTTCTGCTTTTGTGTGTAGTGGAGCACTGTTAGAGTTTTGTCTCAAGTTAAAAACCTTCAGCTGATGAATTATCAGCACTATTACCTGAAACTTCTCTGGCAGGTCATTTTTCTTCTGACATATTGACTCAACTGTGGCCTAAAGAACAGTCTATGGTGATGATGATGATGCAACTGTATCCTGAGCTGCAAAATATTTACTTTGTCTGTTCATTCAGCAAAAACAAATTCTCTCTAATGCATATTTTCCCAGCATTTGCACATGACATGCTTCCAGCTTGCCAGTTCGTCTGATGGGTTTTGCGGATCTCAGTTTGGCTCTGTGTTTGTCATGTAAGTTCATGCAAATGGACTCATTTTCAAAACACAGTACAAAAATAACAATTTTTACCTACTAACCTCTTTTGGGGCAAACGTGTTTTTCTAAGAATTGAAAGATACTTGTTATTTCATTACTTTGAGGTGCATTTCAGCATGTCTTGTTGCTGGTTTCAGAAAATCACCAAGCTGCACAAGATACAGCAGTCCTCTATGCAGTACCTAAAGTGCATAAGTCAAAGAGAACACAGACAGGGCTACTGAGAGTTAAATGATGCACACATCAACAGGCAATTGATTTACTACACTTTCTACACTTGAGAATTCAGTCTCTGACTGTTTGTCATTAAAAAGAAATATCCTCTGGTGAAAGTGTGAGGCACCTCATGGTAGGAGCTGTGATGCTAGCCTTGGTGGATCCCTTGAGCAGGTTTCTTGGGTCGATCTAGTGCATAAATATCTCACCTTGAATCAGAAAACAGCAGGTGAATCAGATGTAGGGAAAAACATGAGTTCTTTGCTTCAGGGGTCTCTGCAGGCATTACAGAGGCTGACCCACCTAAGCATATTTTGCAGTTACACAGCCTGTTCAGCTTCAGCTCCCACCCGTGAGGGAGGAAAGCAATCCTCACAAACCTGTGGCAACTTGAGGGCTGAAGTAAAGGTAATCCTAAACTTGAACAGGTGAGACATGCCCCCCAAATGTCAGGTACCAGTTGCTCAAACAGATGCCATAACTTGGATTTTATGTGGGTAAAGCGGATACCTTCTAAGGGAACTGAAGCTGCAATTAAGAGAGAATGCAATTCCATTTCAGAGAATCATAGAAAGGCCTAGGTTGAAAAGGACCACAATGATCATCTAGTTTCAACTCTCCTGCTATGTGCAGGGTCACCAACCACCAGACCAGGCTGCCCAGAGCCACATCCAGCCTGGCCTTGAATGCCTTCAGGGATGGAGCATCCACAACCTCCTTGGGCAGCCTGTTCCAGTGCAACACCACCCTCTGAGTGAATATTTCAATAGTATAGAAATTCAATTTGTATCTAAATATAGTTAATTAGGTATCTTTTAAAGTCATCTAGAGAAACGCACTCAATCACTGTCATATGGCTGGGTTCTGCTGCAGTTCTCTTATTTTCAAACATTGCAGAACATCTGTCAGCACACAACTGCTCCTTTGTTTAATGGCAACTCCTTGTTGATGGATTTTCTTTTTTTTTTTCACGTACAGAATGGAATACAAAAGCCAACAAAGATCAACAATGAGAATGATGTGATAATTAGCTGGAGCTTGGGAGAAGAGATAGGAAGGAAATGAACTGAAATTATAGCTGTCTTTAGTGGATCTTGCCAAGTGTCTTCTCTGGTTGGTTTTAATTTATGTTTGTTCTGATTACTATCTCATGAATAAAGTTACAAAATTCCAGCCTCCAAAGAGGCAAAGTTTGTCTGGTGAAATGTACTGTGTGTAACATACAGACTATTCACACTATCTGTTCATCAGTTTCCAGTTTGTAAGGAAGAACATTTCTGTCTCACTCTTAAATTTATCATGTTCCTAAGGGTGGAAAGCATTTAGCAATAATTGTCTAGTTCTCACTTTCCTAAATTTTGCTCCAAGTAGGAGAGAGGGATTAAGCCTGATGTCAATATATATCTCAGATGAGCTCTTCTATTCCGTGCTTAAGTCTTTCTTCATGTTTTTTACTCATATTCCTTGAAACAAACTCACATACCCAGAATCTCCCCTAGCCTTGACACAATCCTGACCATGTTTTATGTGCAGAGATGAAGTCCAGGCCCCGCTAAAATGGAAGTTTTGCTATTGGCTTCATTGTGTATGGGATCTCACCTCAGCTCCTCAGACCTCAATATACTGTCTCATTTGTTTTCCATTACTGAATTATCTATTAGCATATATAAGGTAAAACAGAAAGAAGATTACATTTATTCTTCTCAATAAGGTTTAATTCCCTCTCTTTTCTCTGTACGTAAGACTCCAAGAGAGAAATCTGCAGAACAAAAAAGGGGAAAAGTGGTGGGCAGAGTCTAAGATTACGATCCTGAGATAAGGAGAAGGGTAAAATGTTTTGTAAATCTATTATGTGCAGTCATTAAGGAATGATAGAAGCCTAGTATTTCATTTCAGCACAAATAATGAAGACTGGCCTTTTCAAATAGATTTATAACGCTAATGTCAGAGGGGTTATTAGGTCCAATTTGTGCGATACGATCCCTTAAATCACTCTCATTTGCCTTTCTGTTGAGCTCAGTAACCGATGTTTGATTGGTGTTATCCAGAAGACACCCAATTATGAAATGATGACCTCTAGAGAGAGAAGATCCACTGATAGCCTTGGTAGCTTAATCATATTTGCCGTTGGAGTAGATACTTGCTTTCAACTCAACTATTCTCAGTTTCCAACCATTGTTCCTTACTGTAACTGTGTGCCAGACCAAATGACCTTTCTGGTGCTTTGTTCTTTATGACTCAAAATATTTGTTCACTTTCTACACTGCAATGAAAGGTTGCAGCATTTATGTTCGTATGAACAATCCCCATTTGGTTAAATGCTGAGAATGAGATGTTGCTGTAGCAGCCCCAGTATGACAAAGCCAGAGATAAAATGAGATCCAAAATTGGCTGTCTTTGTATCCAGAGCTTCACTTTTGCCTCTTTGTGTAAAATCTGTCCAATCACAAATATTGCATCTAGACAAATATCGTGATGGTTTCAGAACATGCAAAGATGCTCATGGATTTTCACAGCCAGAACATTTTACAAAAAGGCTTTATAATTGCCTAGTTCAGGTGTGGGAAGTCCACAGCCCATAAAATGGGCTTTGAGTCTGGGAATTTATTTTGTGTTTTGCAGAAGTATACAGAATTTATATTCCTTCTTATTACTGGATAACATCAAGGATTATACCAGCCTGCTACTTTACAGTCATACTCAAAATTTGTATTTTGCCCTGATTTTTCATCTTTGCCTGAATTTAGTCTAGCACTCTGGATAGCAAAGGCCATGCTCTACTGTAAGGAATTGCAATATGATTCAATGCACTTGTTTGTGATATTTAGAGAGAAAAGGAGGTTATTTCAGTATGCTTGACAGAATTCACTTTTGTGAGCAATATGTTGTATTAACGGATGAACAGCAACGATAGCAATTGTAAATCACAGAATCACAGAATGGTTGAGGTTGGAAGGGATATCTCTGGAGATCATCTTGTACAAGCTCAAGCGGGGTCCCTGAGGGGACATTAACCCATGATTGTGTCCAAATGGCTTTTAAGTATCTCCACTGAAGAAGACTCCACATGTCAGGGCAACCTGTGCCAGTGTTCAATCACCCATATAGTAATGAAGAATACCACACCCCCAGTTCCTCCATAGCCACTTGCTTTTTTCAAGTCATTTTCATTTTAGCGACATTGTCAGCTAGTAAATACAGGACATGTTTTGTTTCTGAGGGCAAACACATTCCAATTCAGTGGAAGATGTGGCTGGTTGGGGTTCATGTACCCTACAGTGCATTCATGTTTGTGGTCACTTCAGCAGGGCTTATAGATGTCTTCAGTTTGGGTTGTGTTCAAGCAAACTGGTTCAAGCAAACCTCAGCAGGTTTCCATGTCTGGATGGGCAGCCAGGTAAGTACAGAGCTGCCTGATGCCACAGCAGAATTGGTGGGAAAACTAAAGGAAACAAATAAGTGCTTGCTTTTCCAGAGGTTTTCCACTTGTTCACTACAAATACCTGCTGCCTCTGGAAGAGTGAAGCCAAACCCATACCACACTGCTTTCTAGATGTGAGTTTGTTAAAAGTAGGTATTCAGAAGTAAACCAGAATTTACTTAAATAATGAAGCATTTAGAGGTGCTTTTCTTGTCCTTGCTTGTATCTCCTACTCAGTGCCTCACTTCACGATATGCTGAAACCTCTTTCTCTACCCCTCCCCAGGTCCCTGCCTTCCCTCCCACTGCCTTTGCCTGCCTGCACTGTGCTCCACTGTGCCAAGGCCCTTCCTGCTCCCTCTGCAAACCCATCTGTGCTGCGAAACTTCCCACCTACAAAGACCACACGTTGCTGTCTGGATCCCACTCTCTTCTTGTTTTGTATCAGTTTAAATCTGTTGGCTTCTGTGGTGCTGCTTCTCCCCTTGTGGCTTTAGAGAAGAATCACAACTCTGTATCTAGCTGGGCTGCTCAAGGATAAAATCCGCCTGGGGAACAAAAGGCTCCTGTTGTTTTCTCAGCAACATGAAGCTTTCTCTGCACTTAGAGTAGCAAATTAACAACATTTCCAAGTGAAATGTAGCTTATTCCCAGGCAATGAGCATTTCTGCTTATCCCTGTCCTGCTCTAAAACTCTTCTACCTATGTGAGTCTGGGAGAGATTGTTTGGCAAACACTTCTGCCACTGATGCTGGGAATTACTGCTGAGGCTTTGTGAGAGGCCTCGGCAGGAAAATGTGTTCCAGGTATATGGTTCACCACTTCCCCAGGAGGCTTTCCTTTTTTCCTCACAATCTTCAAGAATGTGCCAAGGGAGGGGTGGTTTTCATATACCTAAGGCCTGAAGAATGTGAGTAATAATCAAAGGTTTTGGTGTGTTGTACAAAGCATCCTTTTGTGGTAAGAGGCAGTCCTCATTACCGTCTGTGAGACTGGGGTCTGTCTGAGCAAAGTCCATTCCTTTGCCTTCAGAGTGCTCTTCTCTCTCTCACTGTGGAACTGCCCCACCACTAGCAGTGCAGATGGATACTTCATGGAAGGAAACTCCTTCTGAGGGGCCACAGATCCCAGGTACTCAGTAGTCATTGGCCTGGTACTCAGCCGGTACTCAGAAGAATCACATGAAGATGTGTATTTAGTGTTGGCATTGACTATAGAAACCCACAGTGTCTAAAAACAAGTATAGCTTCTCCCAGAGACACCTGCACAATTGCTGCTGTGTGGGAAGAAACAGACACAGTGCAAGTGAAGTGAAACACATTACCCAGAATGGAATCTTACCGAGTCAGATCCTTGCAGTGACAAATCCACTCCCAACCAAGCCAGATTCTGCATTTTCTAAATGTATTCTTGGGTGTCTTTGTCATGACCAGAAACACCAGAGCTGAAGCTCTGCATTGATTCCAAGGGTTTGTTGGCTTACAGTGTTTGTGATGGCTGGGCACTGAGATATCTATTTACCCTGCTTTCTCTATTTAGTTCTTCCCTAGGCATACTGCTGAGCCTTTGTGAATCCTCATTGATTTTCCCAGGAGCAAAATGTCATTACTGCAGCAGGCTGTGTACATCAGGTACACTGAAAAACAGGATCGTTAGGTGGTTGTGTCATTAGCTGTGCTTCTAGTGTACTTCATAGTGCTTTCTTCCCAAGAGGTGACACTGATTGTCCAAGTTAGCTGCTTCATCAGCCTTTAATGCAGTGCCATTAGGTCTCACACTGCCTCTAGCATGTTTATCCCCACACAGGTTAGGTGCAGGGAGCAGCACAGCACAAAGCGTTCCTGCAGGAGGCCTGATGCTGGAGGGGCTTGCACAAAATCACTCAGCAAGTCCCCAGCTGAGCGGGATTGAACCTGGGTCTTACGTGCCTGTGGGTGAAATGAGCAGTAAGGCAGAACTACCTCACAGCTGAAGGAAACTGCAATGGGTTGATGGAGTGTGAGACTTTGGGAAGGAGGAGAGAAACCTTTGGACTGCTTCAGGCTTGGTCTTCTCCATTCCTGTCCCAAACTGTCCTTAAGCTGACTGAGTCGTTGTGGCATCGTGCAACTATAGATTGTGATGTGGTTGACTTAAAGGTTAGATAAGTTTATGTTTGGAATATACATATATTTTCCTTTTAAATATCACTTGCAACCTGTACATTTCCTTTGCCCATCTGCAGTCAGGAAGATATGGCTTTGATCTGGTATTAACTGCATCTGATCATGCACAATTGTTAATTCCTATGCAAAAATCTAATTGCCTACAAGAAAAAAAAAGTCATGTATTTTGTGAAACTTTCTTTTTTTGGAAGCTTTCTGGTGAGATATTTTCTGTTCAGACAGCAGAGATATAGGTCACATATCATATTAATTTTCCATTTATAGTTAGCTTTCAAGAGTTAACAAATGATTACTTGTCACACAGCTCTGATGAAGCACCTGAACTCATTGCCTATCAAGCTATTGCAACTCAGACTTCTACGCTTTAGTTAGCACCTTACAGTCACAAACCTCAGCTGACCTAAGGCTGTGGCTATATCTGAATTGCATGTCAGGATGGGCCCTGGGCACGCACTATCATCTTCTAGGGCTTCTTCAGCAGGAAGCTCATGTGTGGGCAGGAGGGGGCTGTGGTGTGCTTCCATAGGTCTTCTCCTCCCTGTGGCTGGAGACCAGCACCCTTGGAGATGCCATGCAGGCCATTGGCTCTGCAGATGAGGCTCAGGCATGGTACGTATGGTACGGGGACCTGCTTGCCACATTCAAACAGTCGCTGCCTTGAGCTCTTCTTTTGCCTTAGGTCAGAGGAGGTGCAGCTCTGCATCTCCCTTGGGCTCCTGGGCACAGGATGTTACCCATCTGTGTCCCCGGCCACCAGGCTTGGGACTGGTTTCCTCCACCCGCACCATTGCCTGGTGGCTAACTCAGGTGTGTAGTCCAAGTGAAACTCAAACAGATTGGATTCAAAACCAACCCCTCTTAGCTTTAGCCAGCACAAAGCTTTGTCATACTTGCTAGGATTTAAGATGCATTTATGCCCTTCTACCCTTCTGAGAACTGGGCACGCTCTGGGCAGACACCTTATGGCTCATCTATCAGGTGCCCACCTTGCCTCCTCCAGATTAGTGCTCCAAGATTTCATCAGATGCACATAAACCGATAACTTTGATTGTCATGTTAATCAATTGTTATTAACTGATCTATGATCAAGCAGGCAACTAAGCTCCTTACTGGTCATGTTTAACCTCTTGCACTGATGTGGTTTCAGCTATCCGAAACACAGTGTAAATGCAACATACTCATGACAGCTGCTATTTTTTTTTTTTTTTAATAAGCTCTTTATAAGCCACTTATAAATAGAACCTTAATATGAAGTGTGACAGATTTCTAGTCTTTATTCTCTCCTTAGCCCTCCAAGCGCTTCCTTTCCATAATATGGAATACATCCAGTGTGCCCTAGATATTCTCCATTCTTGCTGATGACTTTAGCTCTCAGCCATTGATTCTTTATCTGTGTAAATAGATCAAGGCTGCAACTGCCTTCTCTTTGAACATTTAAAAAGGACAAATAAGATCAGAGGGGCAGTGAAGAGGTGATGAAGATGGTGATGGAAGATGTATTTTGTTGTTCATGTGATGCAGCTCTAGTCTGAGGGGTTTCATGTCAATATGGTACAGATAAAAAATAAGTATTTCTTTTCCATCACAGTGGAGAGAATTGGACTACCTAGTGAGTTCTTAAAGGAAGGAAAAATATTGTGAGGACACTGTGACATTTATGTAGCATTAGTGCTTGGTGACATTCTGTTTCACCAATGTACTTTGCCAAATTCAGTGTGTATAATGGTCTCCCTTTCACTGCTGAGCAAACACTGTAGCACAAAATGCTCCGCTTAGGGTTACGTATAACATCAGTGGCAAAATGGGACTGGAACATGCACTTCCTGGTACCCTCCAGGTAATGTTTCCCTTCACTCTGTGCTGCCAGGAAAGAGATTATTTATTGGAAATATATTTTTATATATATGTTCATTTATAGGGAGGAAACTCTGAAAGTGCAGGGAGGAGAAATGTTTAGAAGTCTATTCTGGTTTTGTTTGTTTATTTCTATGGGGGAAAATTCTATGCATCAGAGACTTGCATGGTGTTGAAAGTTTAGAAGCAATATCATTAATCTCAGCATATGTCATTCAGATTTCATTGAGCCTTGTCTCTGCAGCAGCCAGCGTGCTGTTACTTTAACACTGAAAGAAGTAAAGCCCTGTTGTTACTTCTCACTCTTTCCTTACATTTAGCTATGAAAGTATAACCATGGATGCCTCTAGACAATTAATAATTGGCATCTGCTGTGTTTCTCACAGACAGCAGGGAACATCAGGTGCAGAACTTGTAGGATTTAAAGCACAGCCAAAGCTGAGGGCTGCAGATTGTGCTCTAACCTAATGCTTCTCAGCCATAGGTTCCTTCCCCTTTATTTCCTTAAAACTTTTCTGTTGCGTCACTGAAAAATCATAGCCCCTTGCTTTGTAATCATACCCCTTTTTTATTTAAAGTTTTGCCTCCTTACCCATTAAACACATCCTCATTAGTGTTGCTTTTACTTTTCAGAAGCGTATATTCAGTATTATAGGCTCAGAGTTCTTTTGTTTTCTCCCCAGAGAGGTAAAACCCTGGGGAATTTAAGTATCTACTTGATAGGCTCGCACAATCTTAATCAGCCTATAATGGAGCTAATGGCTGTTTGTCATCCTTGGAGATATAAATTTCCTGGTGATGTCTACTGCAGTCAGTGCATGAAGTATGCTCTGACTGCCAGCAAGGTCTAATAACCAGGAGAAGGGCAGCCAGCTTCATTAGCAAGAGGGAGACCGTGCCGGCTGCTTTTCTGGATAACTCCGTTTTTTGAATGCTGAGGAGAGAAAATGGATAATGCTGGTAAGTGAAATAAAACAGATCTTCCTTCTTAGTGAGCCTACGGGGTTTGTTTGTCTCCTGTCTCGCTTGCTGCAGGAGATGTGTTTCTTTAGCCTTTGTCGATCCTTCCATTTCAATGTCCTTTATGAGAGCGAATTTCTATGTGTAAAATGCGACACACTTAAGTTTTTAACCCTTTGACAGTCAGCTTTTCTGTTTTAAGTCGGTGTTTCCTTGAAATATGAGCCAAAACTGTAATGTAGGATCTGCCTTTTCAAGGTTTTCGGTTTAGTTTCGGAAGCTTTATGCAGGAGATGTGGAAGGAAGGGAAAATGCATAGCGTCAAGTGGGAAAATATCTTTCACAGATTGCAATAGGTGTGTGGAGGTAACTGCTGAAGCTAACCAAAAGTGGGTAATGCATTTCTCATATTTGCAGTATTATTTGAAGCTTCTTCTATTCTCTCTCTGTTTCTTCTCTCTTCTATTTAGAACGTAAAATTCTGCATACATTTGCACTTTTGTTTTCTGTGATGTTCCAACTTTAGATCACGCATTTTCATGCCAAATAATGCACTGCATGGTTTCTGAGAGTCACTCAATACCAACATTGCATATGTCATAAAATGGTTTATCTGCATTTTCCTTTTTCATTACCTTGTATCCCAAAGCACTGCAAAAAGTGCTTTCTGTGATGGATATTTTGCACGTTACTTCGACTGCTGTGAAAGCGGAACATTTCAGTGTCACGCTTATTTATTGAGACGAGTACAATTCATAGTGGGATATAGAATTTACAGTAGACTCAGTGCCCTTTGAAACATTCTCAAATCATCGGATTTGTCTGACGTTAACCTTTTAAAGTGATGTTCACCTCCATAATGTATGAAAAAAAAAAAAAGATTTATGGTAGATTTCAGTGACGACACTTTAAAGAAAGCTTATTTTTGTGGTTTTATTATTATTTTTCATATAATTCAAGCAAAACTCTTGCTTGTGCCTGCTAGGCTGTCCAGGTCAATTTCACCTCAGGTGTACTGTCATCAGCTTCTATGACAAACAAACTCCTGCTCTTATTTATATAAAATTCAAGACCAAAAAAAACCTCCACTTTTTCCAGAAATTAAAATGTTGGTGTCATGGAAGATTATATTGCTGGTACCTGTGAGCTTAGAAGCTGACCTGCTCTTAGTATGATGAACATTTCTGTGAAATAAGTAAGATTATAAATACTTTTTGTGCTTGGTGCAATCTTTTGAGAAGACTTAACCTAATAAATGCTAATGGCGTGTGTTTGATATTCTGTGACGAGGCAGAATTTTCCAGTTGGAGGAAAAGGATTCCTCCAGCATGGAGTGCCTGTAGGCAAGAGATGCTCTGAGCTGCTAAACCTCCTGGTTTTAAAACTCTTCAGCATCCTCAACTAATGCTATTGAAGTCTTGACAGAGCTATTACTTTAATCCAGCTATATTAGAATCTGCTCCAGAATGAGTCACATTCATTTTAAAGGCCAGTTTTTTGGGGGTACACAGGAAAGCTGGTTTCTGAAAACCATAGAAACAGATTTTCCTCTGTTTTTATGTATATATTTTTTTGCCTTAGGAATAATCTGGTTTTCTTGTGATCTGTAAAATTTGGAAGTTAGAATAAGTAAGCTTTGCTCTCTGTACAACTTTACCAACTAACTTCAAAGCCTCTTATATGACCAGTTTCCTGAAGTTTCCAGATGTTTGGTTTTTTTTATCACGCAGAAGCAGTGACTGATGGTCTGCTTTTTTTTTTTTTTTTTTTTTTTTTTAATAACCATTTGTGTACAGTAGAGCTTTGCTGAAATAGTGGAAGGAGACTTGAGGACCAGTTAAGAATATCCAACAGCTGCTGCAAATAAGACTCAGTGAAAAGGCTGATCTGTTCCCAAAGCATCTGCAAAGAGATTTTTAGGGTACTTGACCCCGAATAGAAACCAATCAGAGCCAGAAGCCAGCATGGGGAGTGGTCAGCAGGCACCTCTGAGGGTCTGGTTATGCCCCTGAATTTCACAGGGATGTGGGTGCACTTTTGAATGTCCTGTACTAAAATCTGGGCACTCATCAGCTGGTGATCAAACAGAAAAGATCGGGATATCTGGAGCCATAAGACCATCTGCCTCATTAGTTTGTTCAGCAGTAGTTGGTCAATTGAAAATGTAAACATGCTAATGTATACCAACTGGATACCTGCCTGGATTCTTCTTAAAGAGATGCTATTTCTGGCACCATAGAACCACAGAGCCCTAGCTCAGCTGTAAGCTTGAGCTGCTGAATGTTAGAAATAACAATTTGGTTATCAGTGTTGGTGAATCAGGCCTTTGTTATTACATTTCTCGTGCTGCCAAAGAGACTTTCCAAGTCAGACCATGGATAATTGTTGGGCAAAGCTCCATCTCCTCCTCTGCATAGCAGAAATATCATGGCTCGTATTCTGTGCCATCATTAAAGTCTTTTTTTCTGTCCTGAACTGTTATCTAAAAAGATCAGGGTTGCTAATAGGTCAGCTGTTTGGGTCCATAGTTTCAAGAACCCGTGTTTTCATTTAGAGACTTCTTTCATTTAAAAGCTAGATTACGTATTTTTAATCTGTGCCACTGAGACGGCCTCACAACACTGTTGTCTCGTGTGTTCTTTTAAAAGCTTTTCCTGGAATAACAATAAAATATTCATCACTGCGTGCATGGTGTGTCAGGGCAGTTCTGGCAGTGTGTTTTGGCAGCAGTTGTTTCTGACGGTTTGGCTGCAGGTATTCAGCTGTGAGGCTGCCTGGCACTGCAGGGGGGGAACCAGTAGCCCCAGCCTTATCCCACCATGCAAGATCGGCCCAGATCTGTGGCCGAAGGCAGCACTGGTATAATAACACTCACTTTAAAACACAAAGGGAGGGCTGGAAATAACTCCATGGGAATGAAAGAGAATATAAAAGTGGCAAGGAACTTCTGCAGCAGGAAGAGAGGAGCTGCTGAAACAGACCTGCTCTCAAGTGATACTTTTTCCTGTGAGAAGGGGGGTCAGCACTATCCCCTCCCCCAAGAGCTCCTGTCCGGCATCTCGCCTTGAAGTGGGTGAGTCTCATGTCGTCCATAACCACACAGAGGTGCCAGGGCAGGGATTTTGACAGGAGGAGACACACCACAGCCCTCAAGCTAAACCAAGAGGCCTTGTTTCATCTTTCTTGGGGTTTATGTGGCTTCTTTGTACTTGGAATATTATTATAGCAGTTATGAGCTAGCTGTGGTTAACTGTTACCCTGAATTATTTCAGCCCTATGTCTGGGCCTCCCAGTAAATAATCTATTTTAAACGGATCAAAAGTCTTATATATATAAAAGTTTGAATATACATGTTGTATATTCAAACATCCAGCAGCACAGTGAACTTCTCTCACCAGTAGAGTTTCCCATAGCCTATGCTTAGTTGTGGTGGGATGTGGGTGAATAGCACATGTTAGCTTAGCCTTCTTTTGCCCAGAGACACATGTCACAGGAAGGTTAGGAGACACAGGAAGCTGTTTGCTGACTAAGTTCTTTGCTTTTGAACTAATATGTCACATTTGTCTTTCAGTAAGTCAAAAGGACTTATTTAGCATCCTTTAAATATAGGACTGGCATCCTGTAAATATAGGACTGACATTGGTAAAGAATTTGATCTTAAAGATACCTTGTTGTCTCTTACGTGTATTTCAGGCAAATGTTGCACACCTTAATAAAATGTAAGGGAGATAAACACATAGGTAGTTAGAAGAGCAAGCTGAGAACTTGCTCTCACTGTGTTCAGACACCTTTACTACAGCCCAGCTTGTCAGTGTGCAGAATTAGCCTACTCAACAGTCTCACAGTATGTTGTAAGATTCATTTGTTGCCCATACAGGAGTATGAAATACTTTGGCCATCTATGGCTTAAGCTTGGCTGAATTATTCTTATTCTTCCCTATATAATTTGGAAACCTATTGGAAAAAAAAAAAAAAAACAAAAAAAAACCACACACTTGCAATGGAAACAGTGTCAGTGTAACTGCAGGTTTGCCAGTAGCACAATGACAACTCCAAATTCCAGCAGCATTTCCTTTTTGAAAAGACAACAGCATTTCCTTTCTCACCATCCCACACTTTGATGTGAGTTCACACACTGTCTTTGCAAAACGTGGTTATCAGTGGTGCCACATTGACTTTTATTGGGTTTGTGTGTTGTTTTCTATTGGTCACAAAGTGGTTAAACCTGGACAGTGAAATACATAGCAGAAATCAGTTTTTTTATTCTACACTGTATATCTTTATTTGTCTCCTGTCTGTACTCATGGCCTCAGCTGAGGCAGATGCTGTAGTATGTCACAGGTCACCATCTCCTAGAAAGTTGACTTTTTTCCTGACATAATTTTAGAATAATACTCACAACACATGCTCCTTTACCCAGAAGCTGGGAGAGTGCATTCATAAAGATATAGTAACATTTTCCATCAGCACTAAACTTCTCTGTGAGGCTGCTGTTCCCAACTTGTTTTCAAGTCCGTATACAAGTAGCCTCTGAGTAAGTCATAGAATCATAGAATGGCCTGGGTTGAAAAGGACCACAATGATCATCGAGTTTCAACCCCCCTGCTGTGTGCAGGGTTGCCAATCATCAGACCAGGTTGCCCAGAGCCATGTTCAGCCTGGCCTTGAATGCCCCCAGGGACAGTGCATCCACAACCTCTTTGGGCAACCTGTTCCAGTGAGTCTGGAGTAGTCTGTAGTAATTCATACCAGAAGCAAACAAATGCTGTGCAGGAGCAAAATGATGGTGCATCTTCTAACTTAGTAATGGTTCCCTCATGCTACCCAGAATGACTCTCAGGTAATCTTTTAGATAGAAATACTGTGGTTGCATCGCACACAGCATATTTCAGCATCTATTCCAGTCTCCACAGCACATATTTTTAAGAAGCGCCATGAACTCCATCCAGATGGTTTGGAGAAATGGTGTAATGCAGATTCTATTTTCTATTAGGCTCTAA